CGATGATTCACGGGGCCCCTCCTTGCTGTGGGAGCCGCTCTTTGAGCACTCCCTCTTTCGTCCGTGTGAAGGACGGTCGTCGACCTCTCGTGAAGGTAAAACATCACCAAAACAGTCTCACCCGATAAATAAGTGGCGTAGGCCGCAAACACTGAACACCACCACCACCACCAACAGCAGTAGCTATCGAGGGCAGTCCAGTCCCCTACCTAGGTAGAGATGGAGGTGTCTGGGTAGAGAGATCCTTTCGGAACCTCCCGCAGAAACAGATGCAAATGCTGGCGCACACCATGTTCCCGCGGCAAACACCTCTGCAATCTTGCACCAGGGCAACAACACCAACAACAAACAGGAACCAGAAGACACTGAACACCACCACCACCACCAACAGCAGTAGCAGTAGCAGCAGCAACAACATCAACACAACAACAGCAACATCAAGAACAACAACAACAACAATTCGCCGACACAAGCTATTGCAACGCCCACGGCCGCGGCACATCTCCTCGATCCCTCAGGCCAAGAAGAAGCGCACGCTCCTCGAAATCGGCGGAAAGAAGGCCGACGGCACAACCGAGGACGGAGTGGTGCAGTCACAGCCTCCCGACGAAGAGTGCCCAGACCTGGACGAGTTGTGGAAAGACTACGAAAACGCCAAAATGGTGCGTGGACTCGCGAACTACGTCCCTAGGGGACGGTTCGGCATGAGTGGTACTAGAAACAGCGGGGTAGGTTTAACGGGGACCGCATGCAATTTTTTGAAGTGTGGGACCGCCGAAAGNTGGACGAGTTGTGGAAAGACTACGAAAACGCCAAAATGGTGCGTGGACTCGCGAACTACGTCCCTAGGGGACGGTTCGGCATGAGTGGTACTAGAAACAGCGGGGTAGGTTTAACGGGGACCGCATGCAATTTTTTGAAGTGTGGGACCGCCGAAAGCATACAGCGGGTGAACGCCTCCGTGCTGCTGACGGGCAGGCTCGCCGCCGAGGCGAGCAGGGCTTC